CTGTCTGCCTTTGGCACAGGTCATGATCCCAGGGTCCTGGGATCGAGCCCCGCATTGGGCTCCCTGCTCAGCGGAAGCCTGCTTCTCCCTCTCCCCCTCCGCCTGCTTGTGTTCCCCCTCTCGCTGTGTCTTTCTCTGTCAAATAAATAAAATCTTAAAAAAAAAAAATCAGAGAAAAACTCTAAAAGTAATTCAGTGTATTTACCTTTATTACTCCTTAAAAATAATGTTAATTTTTGTTTTTGTATAATAATACCAAGTGTGTAACAGCTGATATGGGTGTCTTCATTTTCATATTGATTTAGTGAGTATTAAGGTATATCAAGTCTTGAATCTTAAGTGTGATATTGATAAATATGTGAAAATTTCACATGATTTTTCTAGGTCAAGTAAAATGGCATTTTACATAAGGATTATAAAAAATGATTGCAAGCATGATTTTAACTACAGTTATATCAAAGCAATTAAATATCTTGGACTGTAACATGATTTATTCAATAATATTTATTAAGATTTATATAAGTTATGATAAGTATTCTCACTTATACAGTTTGGTGGATTGAAAAACATGATCACAAAATTTTGTAGCTCTTCTCATCAGGAGACAGAGTCTATTTCCACAGCCATTCCTCCAATCTGGGCTGATCTAGTGACTTACTTTGGCAAATAGAATGGGGCAGATAAAGCTTGGTCTGAAGAGGACTTTCAGTTGCTATCATTGCCCTGGGACAGTAATGAAGCAGACTGAATCTATTGGTGGATGGGTGGTCACATGGAGAATAACCAAGCAAGGCAAACAGACAACAGTGAACACTGGCCATTTGGCACAGGAGTGAGGCCACCTTGGACCTTTCATTCTAGCCAGACTTCTAGCTCAATGCAGCCACATGGATGAGCCCAAGAAAACCTGAGAAAATTCCCACCTACCACACGGAATCATGTGAAATGATAAATTATTACAGTTTGAGGCCACTGAGTTTTGGGGAGTTGGTTATGCAAGTAATAAAAAGCAGAAACACATGAATGAACTGCTTTCTGGAGTTTGTTTGCATGTATTATTTGAGTATGGTTTAAGCAGGTGTTCTTTTGTTCTTTTAGCAGTTAGTTAATGAGTGACTACGAAGCACTTTGTACTAAGTGCTCTAGGAAATAAAAATATAGGTGTAAATAGTGTCAGTAGGGTAAGTAATAGTTGAGTTGGGGTGATAAATATTAAACTCTAAAAATAGGTATTATTGTAAAAGTTTACCTATGTGAGACATGAACTCCTATGTGCTCTAGGAATTCAGCAGGAACTTCTAGGAATTCCTTGAACTTGAGATTCAATGAAGTCTTTATAAGGGAGGTCATTTTTGAGCTAGGGTTCAAAAAATGGGAATCACAGTAGGTGTTATGGAGAGGGGGCTTCAGTTGTAGGGAATAGATTGGGCAAATTCGATATAGAGGGTAAGGATTATATACTATGATAGGTAAACCATCCAAATAGTAAGTGAAGGGGAGATAAAGTGAGAGAAAAATTTGAGAAAAACCAGATTAGATCCAGATGCTGGAGTCTAATTAATTTTGTATGTACCACATATCTATTGCCAAATAACAAGCCACCTAAAAGGTAGTGGCTTAAAACAGCACAGTTTGTTGTTTCTCACAGTTCTGTGGTTGGAACCAGGATAGTTTTCCTGCTGATCTCACTTGCAGTTATTCTTGGCTTCAGTCATGTGATGGCCTGACAGGAATTGGAGCATCCAAGATGGCCGACTCTCATGTCTGGCAGTTGGTGCTGGCTGTTAGTTGGGACATTTTTTTTTTTTTTCCACAAGCCTCTCATCCTTCAGTAGATTATACCAGGCTGCTGTACAGCATGGTAATCTCAGACTTCTAAGTCAGCAAGAACAAAAACTTCAGGGTGTTTGTAAGATCCCTGCTCTGTGATCCACACACCATCATTTCTACAAAATTTTGTTGGTCAAATAAGTTATTAGGCTGTTCAAATGCAAGGACATGGAGAACTAGATTTCACTTTTTTAAAAAAAGATTTTATTTATTTATTTGAGAGAGAGAGAATGAGAGAGAGAGAGAGAGCACGAGACGGGGGAGGATCAGAGGGAGAAGCAGAATCCCTGCCAAGCAGGGAGCCAGATGTGGGACTTGATCCTGGGACTCCAGGATCATGACTTGAACCGAAGGCAGCCGCCCAACCATCTGAGCCATGAAGGCACCCTAGATTTCACTTTTGATGGGAAGTACAGCAATATCATGTTGCAAACAGGCATAAGCATAGGAAGGCTTGATTTATTGGCAGCTATTATAATAATCTATCACATCATGAATTACAAAGTGGTCTTAAATTGTAAGAATCCAGTGCCTTTTTTTATTTTTATTTTTTTATTTTTTTTAAAGATTTTATTT